AGAGCTGGCGTCGCTCGGGGAGCGCAGGAACACGCTCGATCCCAGCTGATATTTAGCAGAACCAGTGTTTTGCATTCAGAGGAGAGAGGTCCTGCACCTGTCTGTTAGCCGGGGCGAGCGCCCAGGCGGTCCCGGAGGGACCTTGTCCCGTCTGCTTTGGGCAAGGATGGCCCTGCGTGGCTCCCGTGTTAGCCCAGCCCTGGCCTTGGCGACTTGAGAGATCCCTTGCACCGGCTAGGATCCTAAAACATGCTCCTTCCTGCCCTCCCACCTGCTCCCATGTTTCGTCCTACACCTCCGGAGCCAGCACGTGCCCAGGACCGCAGGATCCTGCCCGTGGTCCTGACCGCCATCAGGAAATAGTAAAGGAGAAGGTGCTGGTCACAGATCTCTTTCTTGTACTGCAGTTGTGTGTCCTTTCTCTGTTTGCAAAAAAAGCAGCACTCTGCCGTAGCCTTTCCTTCCCCTTTCACCCCCACTGAGTGTGTTCACCTAAACTGTTATTAAGTAAGCAGTACGATGAACAGGAGAATTAGGCGAGTGTGATTTGTGACTTGTTACTTGCCTCATGGCTTTATGATTTTGTCACTGGGACATTTAGAGAGCTTCCCTGCTTGTAGATTCTGTAGTGTGTAAAAGGGCTTGCATTTACATCTTTCAGTGGGTTCACTGAGATGATCTCTTTGCTCCTCGTTCTCATGACACTGGAAGGAACCTTCACATCTTAGTAGTCTCGCCCTCTCTGCCAAGCAGGCTTTGAGGGCCAAAGCTATCCTGGGCATGCAGGAACTGATACACAGAAAGTCTCATCTCCTTAGGAAACGCAGCTCAAAACAAAAATGGGGTTTGTTCCAGGTTTTGTAGCCCCTCTGCAGCATAGTAGCTGGAAATCTACCTGATTATCCTGTACCTCTACAAACTGGAATATGCCCTGCGTTTTTGAAGATCCATCCATGTTTTTCTGTTGGTTTAACAGTAGGAAGCCCTCCATTTTGTTTTATACAACACTTTGCAGCACCAGGCCACTTAAAGAAGATTTGGCTAATAGGCAATTAATAAAGAAGGTCTGGCTAATAGGCAATTAATATAACCAGCTAAATAAATGTTCCTGCAAGCCAGCTCTGTCTTCAGTCCTCTGAGCGTAACCATTATGTCAAGACCCTGCTTAGCTGGCTCTGGGTTTTCAGGAATCTAGTTGCTCTGTGCACACTGCCACCATTTCTCCAGTCACAAACAGTCCTTTCATCCTCTCACTGCACCACCTGGATCCTTTACAGGAGTTCATTTTCTAGCCATTTTTCCCCATACAGTCAGAACCACATGGATACAAGGCTTGTGAACATGAAGAAAACTTGCACATCTTGCAGGGAGACTAGGAAAGAGAATGAACTGTGCCAGTCCAAAGTGTTCAAATGTGTGAATCAGATCTGCAAGTTCCTGTGCATAACTTAAAAGAATAAACCCAAGATTTAAAAAAATAATACAACTCTTAGTTTGTCTTGCTCACAAGATTCTGTTTCTGCTCTCGCACTATATAACATCTCTAATAGAATTCCTGTGGTCAAGCAGACTTCTTCTACCACCACTTTCTTCTCTCATTATCTCTGACACATTCGTTAATGACACATTCACTAAACAGTTCTTCAAATTAACTGGTTCCCATGCCCAGACCTGCCTCTTCCTCAGATTTGATTCACCTCGCAAACCCTTTGTTCTCCTTCTGCCTTGCCTGCACTTCTTTGGACAGGAGTTCAGTGATTTTCTCTGAAAAAGAACAGCTTAAATTCAAACTAATTTAGTTCCTGTTCAATCCCTTCTCCCAGTTATCCTCACAGCCTTTCTGGATGCCTTTCCCAACTTGAATTTTTCTTTCTCCTTTGCTTAGTTTTGATTTTCCTTCTTTGTTTCCTGTCACTTTCTCTTCCTCAACTCCTTCCCTTCCAACAGGGGCAGAAATTTCTCCTCTGCTGCCTTCCCCTTGCCCGAGTAATCCCGCTTCTTGGTCTGCTTTGAAATTAAGCTAATTTCCATCCTTTTTCTCCTCCGTCTTTTACTCTCTTCGTAATATAAATATGTTCTAGCTTCCTCAGTCTTAAAGCATGTGATTCCCAAGCACTGGGATTAAGAAATCCTAGCTTCCTACTGAGTTGTGGCTCATGGCTGATTAACTTGGGGGTCTAAGGAGGTGCAAGCTTTGACTGAAACTTCTTCTGAAGTTTTGGTATCCATAAGGGGTCTGTTCAGTCAGTGAACTCTCTGTTGCCTAAAAGCTCATGCGTGTTCCATCATTCAGGGAGTGCATGATGCCTCTTCCCTACCTGACTAGGTTTCATGAAAGTTATAGGAACTAAATTATTTTTGAAAATTTTAATCCTCTCTCCTATGGTACTGAAGTAAGTCACTAGGTTCAAATGTGATTAAATCCCATGGTATACCCTACATGACATGACCACCTACGCCTTGTTCCCTTAGAAAAGCAACGTAAAAATCACCCTTGATCCAACTTGTGCCTTCCAGCTGCCCATCTCTAAATTCACTGAATGCAGTGTACATAACCACTATCAGGAGTTCCTTGTTTCTCATTTTATTTTCAGCTCTCCCTGATACATCCTCTGCAGGCTTGAAAGCTAAGAAGCTTGCTTTTAAAAAATATGATGGCTGAAATGACTCCAGGAGATAAAGATTTAAGAAAAGCACCAAAAGTTACAAGGCTTTTGTGAGAAGCTTGCAGCGCTCAGAAAATAGAAAGAACTGGGCGGAGAGGAGCAGGAAAAAAGAATGAAGAAGTAAATGAGAAAAATCGTACAAAGGAAAATAGGCAAACAAAAATGATCAGAGGAAAAGATAGGTACACCCTTCTGTTTCCAACTGTCCGAACACATTGTGTTGCCCCGCATCAGTTCTGCGAAAGGATCAGTGTCCAGTACAACAGATCCTTACAACAGAGGACTGAAGACAGCTAACAGGAGGGAATTCTCCACATTACACATTTTGTAAAGATTATTACACAACTGATACAGTTTTACACTATCAGTTTCCGTTGATATAGGTGTACTCACTTAAGAGGCAGTGATGAGATAGCTGCTTTTTTTCTAAAAAAAGCTCCCCAAAACTGCACGGAAAGGTGAATGAAATGCCTGCTTAATACTTTACAATTGTGAATTGCAAGTACTTCAA